GATTTGAGCATATTATGCTAAGTGAAATAATTCAAAGACAAATATCATATGATTTCACTCATATGTGGAATCTAAAAATCAAAACAAATGGATGAGGAGAGGAAGATGGCAGCAGAGGAGGAGGACCGTAGGTTCATGTCATCTCATGAACACAACCAAATAACTATCAAACCATCCAAAATATCCCAGAAATGAACCTCAATACTGACAGAACAAACGCTTCAACTAAAAGGAGACAAGAGGACATATCAAAACAAGTGTGAAGTGCAGAGAAATGGTTCAGGAATGAAGAAACAGATCACAGGGGCTGCGGAGGGGAGAGAGCCATGGCCACAGAGAAGGGTGAGAGAAAGAGGAGTACATAGGGGAACACACAAGCAGAATGTTTCTCCAAAGCCATTGGCCTGAAAAATGAGAGGGGCTGGATCTTGTGAGTTCTTGCAACCAGTGTCTTAAAGCTTGATGTTTTAAAGGTCTGGGGCGTGGCTAAGATACAGACTGGAGGCCACTGCACTGCTCCTGCACAGAAGGCAGGTCCCCTGGGGGCAGACAACATGCAAACAGTTATCTAAGGAGTGCCTTGGGCACACAGTGAAGAGATTATTTGATCTTCTTGGACCATGTCCCTGAGGGGCATCATTCAGAGACACCTCTCCAGGAATAAGGAAGCTGGCTGGTGCCATTTCCCTCCCCCACCCCTCAGCATAAACACAGAGCCACCTGTGCACAACAGCACAGTGCCAACACTGGGTGCCTAACTTGCTTACACCAGGCCTCACTCCCCTGCACACTGGTGGCACTGCCCTTCTCAGTCAAACCTGCCTTAGTCCCAACAGGTTCCTACCTCAGAGGACCAGCACAAATCACTGCCCACACCACGTATCCCAACCAGACACGTCTGCAAGAACTCAGTTCTGGTAGAGGTGATGTCAGGTCTCATGTCACAAGCAGACCAGAGCACACCTAGTTGAAACTCCCCACATTCAGGCGAGGGATCAAATACTTCTCACAGCAGGCAAGGAGAGCCACGACAGATGAGTGGCCTGAAAGACACAACAGTCCAAATACAACAGCAAAGCACACACAGCACACACCAGAGACACTCCCTGAAGCACCAGGCCATGGGCACTGTATGACTTCTTCCTCAGAAGTCCATTACTTTCAGGAGCAGGAGACATAACTGGTTTTTCTAACACACAGAAGAAGGCAAAGTCTTAGACAAAATTCAAAAACAGAGGAATTTATCCCAAATGAAAGAACAAGATAAGGCCACTGCCAAAGATGTAAGTGAAACAGATATAAGTAACATGCCTGATGGAGAATTTAAAGCAACAATCATAAGGATACTCACTGGGCTTGAGAAAAGAGTGGAAGACTTCAGGGAGACCCTTACCACTGAGATAAAAGAGTGTTTAAAAAATCAATCAGAGGGACGCCTCGGTGACTCGGTTAGTTAAGTATCTGACTTCGGCTCAGGTCATGATTTCACTGTTGGTAGTTTGAGCCCCGCGTCAGGCTCTGTGCTGACAGCTCAGAGCCTGGAGCCTACTTTGGATTCTGTGTCTCCCTCTCTCTCTATCCCTCCCTAACTAGTGCTCTGTCTCTGTCTCTCAAAAATAATAAAAATGTAAAAAAAAAAAACTAAAAAAATTTTTAAATCAATCAGAGATGAAGAATGCAATACAGGAGACTGGAAACACGTGTGATGCAATGAAAAGCAGTCTGAAAGAAGCTGAGGAATGATTTAGTGACGTGGCAGACAATTAAAAAAAAAACTAATGAGGCTGAACAAAAGAGAGAAAAAGGAATTATACAAAATGAAAATAGACTTAAACTCACCCTATCAAACATAAAAATATTCATATTATAGAAGTAACAGAAGAAGAACAGAACAAAAAGGGGGCAGGAAATTTATTTCAAGAAATAATAGAAAACTTCTCTAATCTGGGGAAGGAAACAGACATTCAAGTCCAGGAGGCATAGCGAACTCTCCACCAACAAAATCAACAAACACAGGCCAACACCAAAATATACTGTCACTTCATTTGCAAAATGTAGTGATGAAACAATCTGAAAAGCAACAAAAGAAGTCCTTAACTTATAAGAGAAAACCTGTAAGGCTTTGGAGACTTCTCAATAGAAACTTCGTAAGCCAGAGGAAGTGGCATGATATATTCAATGTACTGAATGGAAAAATCTGCAGCCAAGATTATTCTATCAGGCAAGGCTATGAGTCAGAGTCAAAGGAGAAATAAAGGGATTCCAAGACAAAAACTAAAGGAGTTTGTGACCACTAAGCCAACCCTACAAGAATTGCAAAATTTTAAAATAAAATACTCACAAATTGAATCCAACAATACATTAAAAAATCATTCACCACAATTCAGTGGGATTTATTCCTAAATTACAAGGGGGATTGAATATTTGTAAATCGATCAACATGATATCCCACATTAATAAAAGGAAGGAGAAGAACAGTATGATCATTTCAATTGATGCAGAAAAAAACATTATCCATTCACGGTAAAATCCCTCAACAAAACAGGATTGCAGGCAACATAGCTCAAAAGAATAAAGACCATACATAAAAACCCGCAGCTAATAAGGGGAAAAACTCAGAGCTTTTCCTCTACAGTCAGGAACACAAAGGGATGCCCACACTCATCACTGTTATTCAACACTGTACCGGAAGTCCTAGCCACAGCAATAAGAGAGCAAAATATTGCTGTGTTGTGTACCTGAAATTAATGTACCATTGTGTGTCACCTACACTCAAAAATTTTTTTAAACAATTTAATTAAAATAAAGCAAATTAAATTACATAATTTAATACATATATAATTTTCTAGCACATATATTTTGGCGTGCTTCCATGAATTCCTAGACACAATTCCAGATACAGGGTAAGCACAAGTCCATACATGTAGTAAGAAAAAAAAATAACTTTAGAGGACATATGAATAAAGCAAAGAATGAATTATTGGTTCATGAATGTGCATATGTATATGATCAAAAGAAAATCAGAGAATGTCATCAGTTTATGCTTTTCAAACTTGTTCCCACAAAGGTTTATATCACCAATAGAAAAAATATTGAGTGATCATGAAGCAATTATCTAAGAGAAAGATTAGTGAGAAAGGGGCATGAAGGCGGAACGCTATCAAGTAGGAGAGATTAGTAGCCCTGCAGTCTGCAGATTGTTTTTAAATACTTGAAGAACAATCTGAAAGCAAAATTTTCCAGCTAAACAACATAACTATGCCCTCCAAATCATAAAGAAAAAGTTGAGAGATTATAATAGAACTGAAAAACCTGGATTAGGTATGTACATTTTCCAACTGACAAGATAAGCAAAAGAGCCATTATTGGTAATAGTGGAGACTATCAATCACCAGTGAATAATTAGCATCTTGGTTACCTCAAGAGGTAGATCATAATAAAATATATGGATAAATTGAAAAACAGATGATAAACTGAAAACGTGACTTTTAAAGTATTAGCAAATATACTTAAATTTCTTAAGTATTTAAATAGTGAAGCCAAGAAAAGATTTCAAGTAGCATAAACATGTGCAACTCCATGTGAATCAACTTGTTTTGAATTAAGGTTTATCTCTCTAGGTCTTCATTATCTAAGGGAAGAAGAGCATTTATAAGAGTGTGCTAACATTAAAATCAATTGCAGAACCACTAAAGAAACCAATTCTACAATTTCAGATACCAGCTACACAATGATCAGGATAAAAATCTTACAACATTTTTTATGAAATCTTCCTAAAAATCATTAATGGTCTGAAAGTTCTCTTCACTGCTGCCTTCATCTCTTTATTCCTGAGCGTGTAGATGACTGGATTCAGAAAAGGAGTGATAACTGCATCAGACAGGGCAAGAAATTTGTCCATTTGGGAATTGGGATGTGGCCATGTATAGACAAACATGGTTGGACCAAAAAACAAAAGGACCACAGTGATGTGAGCTGACAGGGTGGAAACGGCCTTGGATGAGCCACCGGAGGAATGTTTCCAAACAGAAAAAAGGATGAAGACGTAGGAGATGAGGAGTATGAAGAAGGAACCCACACAGATAAACCCACTGTTAACAGTGACCATGAACTGCAATCTGTA